TGAAGATCCGGTGTCCCTGGGTCGGAAGGGGTTGAAGATCCGGTGTCCCTGGGTCGGAAGGGGTTGAAGATCCGGTGTCCCTGGGTCGGAAGGGGTTGAAGATCCGGTGTCCCTGGGTCGGAAGGGGTTGAAGATCCGGTGTCCCTGGGTCGGAAGGGGTTGAAGATGTGGGGTCGGAAGGGGTTGAAGATCCGGGGGTCGGAAGGGGTTGAAGATCCGGCGTCCGGGGGTTAGAAGGGGTTGAAGATGCGGGTGTCGGAAGGGGTTGAAGATGCGGGTGTCGGAAGGGGTTGAAGATCCAGTCTCTAGGGGTTAAAGACCCGGCGTCCCGAGGTTAGAAGAGGTTGAAGATCTGGGGTTGGAAGGGTTTGAGGACCCAGTGTTAAAAGGCGTAGGGGTTAAAGACCCAGTGTCCTGGGACTGAAGATCCGGTGTCCCTGGGTCGGAAGGGGTTGAAGATCCGGTGTCCCTGGGTCGGAAGGGGTTGAAGATGTGGGGTCGGAAGGGGTTGAAGATCCGGGGGTCGGAAGGGGTTGAAGATCCGGCGTCCGGGGGTTAGAAGGGGTTGAAGATGCGGGTGTCGGAAGGGGTTGAAGATGCGGGTGTCGGAAGGGGTTGAAGATCCAGTCTCTAGGGGTTGAAGACCCAATGTCCTGGGGTTGAAGACCCAGCGTCCGGGGTTAGAAGGGGATGAAGATCCGGTGTCCGGGGGTTGGAAGGAGTAGGGGTTGAAGACCCGGTGTCCCGGGGGTTGGAAGGGGTTGAAGACCCGGGGTTGGAGATCTGGTGTCCCGGGGTTGAAACGGGTTGAAGATCCGGTGTCCTGGGGTTGAAAGGCATAGGGGTTGAAGACCCAGTGTCCCAAGATTGGAAGGGATTGAAGATCCAGTGTTCTGGGGTTGGAAGGGGTTGCAGACCCGTAGTTGAAATGCGTAGGGGTTGAAGGCCCAGTGTCCAGGGACTAAAGACTCAGGGTTGGAAGGGGTTGAAGACCCGGGGTTGGAAGGCGTAGGGGTTGAAGACCCAGTGTCCGGGGACGGGAGACTCGGGGTTGGAAGGGGTTGAAGACCTGGGGTTGGAAGGCGTAGGGGTTGAAGACCCGGGGTTGGAAGGCGTAGGGGTTAAGACCCAGTGTCCGGGGACTGGAGATTTGGGGTTGGAAGGGGTTGAAGACCCGGGGTTGGAAGGCGTAGGGGTTAAGACCCAGTGTCCGGGGACTGGAGATTTGGGGTTGGAAGGGGTTGAAGACCCGGGGTTGGAAGGTGTAGGGGTTGAAGACCCAGTGTCCGGGGACTGAAGACTCGGGGTTGGAAGGCGTAGGGGTTGAAGACCCGGTATTACTAGTACAAAAAGTAATGGGAAATCCAATATTTTTTATAATCTGTCCTGTGGCGGTGACAGTAGTCTAAAGGTGGATTTCCCCCGCTTTGCAGAGTTTTCCTCTCACTTCCTGTTTTGTTTCTGGAATTGAGGGACATGGGCCAACCATGGAGCACTGTAGTTTCTCAAACGGAGTAGGCAAAAAGTGACATGGGCCAACCAGGGAGAACTTTGAGATCCCAAGTTGGGTAGGAAATGAGTGACAAAAGCCAACCTTGGAGAGCCGTGGCTTCACAATTAGGGTTGCACAGATACCAAGTACAGTACTCGGTGCAAGTACGAGTACATGTACCAATACTTTTGAGCTCCAAGACTAGACTAAAGAAAAATTAAAAAATTAGGAGGCCGCTGTCATTTGTAAGGAGCACACGGAGCTCCTGGGATTTGTGCATCTCTGTTTTAATGTATGATTTTGTTTTTAGAAATATAAATAAAGGGATGTACAGATACCAGTTTTGCGAGTACGAGTACTGGTACTTGCCGAGTACTTACAAGTACGAGTACTGATACATTTTTGTTTATTGTCATGTGACAGGTTTTCTAAATCAATACAGACTAATGATTTCAGGACAATGGTGGAGCGCCAGAGCCAGGCCCCAGCTGCAACCGCTGTAACCCTGGTAGTTCTCATGAAAATGCCAAGTATCTGCACTGGCACTCGAAAAGTATCTGTGCATCCCTATTCACAATCTCACTATAGAAATCCTCCCCCGCATCCTAGCAGCCGGTCTTCATAGGGATGGAGCTATGAGGAGTATATAACCCTTTGTTTTATGTCTTGCAGAGCAATGGCCAGTCCTCGGACAAGAAAAGTCTTAAAGGAGGTTCGGGTACAGGATGAGAATAATGTAAGTCGGTTTCTGCGAGCCATGTCCCTGTCTGGGTGGTTTTTATGTCTGAAGCCAGTTTTGGTTTTTTTGGGATAGTGTGTGGAAGGGTTAGAACTTCTTAGACCAGAATAGGTGTCTCCTTCAGAGCCTTCACTTAGCATTGTACTGATGTTCCTGTATAGCCCAATGAACAGGCTGGAGTGTGATAGGCAGTTGCTGAAAGGAAGGATCTGAATAGTGGTGTCACCTTCCAGTTATAACAAAGATAACCAATAGTAGACACCTCCCAGATGTCACTCCATCTTACTTTTTGGGGACTCTTGGGGGTGGTCTGGTATGCTAAGTTCCATCAGCTGTCCTTGTGAAGAGCCTGGCTCTTCTCCTACCTCCTGCTCTTCACTGTTGGCTGATCACTTAGATTGGTGGCCCCTCTGACCAATAGCGAGGCACAGAAAGTTACAAAGGTGGTGCCATGGTTAGGGCCACGGAGCTTCTGTGTCCCTGGAGGACACAATAGAATCTGGCCGTTTCTGGGATCATCTCAGTAGCAATGAACACATCTCAATCTGTCTTTTCCAGATCTGTTTTGAGTGTGGGGCGTTTAACCCTCAATGGGTCAGCGTGACGTATGGTATCTGGATATGTCTAGAATGTTCTGGAAAACATCGGGGCCTCGGAGTCCATCTCAGGTGAGAGTCTCCCATCTGTTATATAACGTTTTTCATTGACCATAAGCATGGTGGAGGTAAGTGGCTGTGAAAGTACCGAAACCAAGTCAACCGGGCAGTGGTGGCCTTCATATGATGAGATAAAGGCTTCAGGAATGGCTGTTTCGAACATGTTAAGAGCTTTTCATATTGTTGACCAGCCAAAGGAACATAAACTGCGAGTTGCCGGTCTGTGAGCTCTTACAGGCCAACAGTTTATCAAGGACAGTGACTGTTCTAGCTTTAGAACATCTCATGGTGCCAAGCAGAGAAGGAGATCTGGGTAACGGCTCTAGGGACGGTTCCAAGGCTTCGAATAACAAGTCATTTCATGGGGATGTATGATGCCTCAGATATTCTTAATGCAGTCTTGTGGAGCATGCTTTGTTAACGATAAAGAGAACCTACTCGGAGCAAAGTATCTGATTCTTTTGATAGCCCATACCTTTGCTATCAACGCTTATCTACCCTGAGTCTCCTGCCATCCTGTTGGAGTCCTGTGTAAGATCCATACCAGTCATTATTGGAGACTGTGGACCTTTCCCCTCTCATGAAGGTTCTCAGGCCTGGTGATGGACCACATTGCATCATGAGAAGATATGGGCCCAAGGTCACCTGCTCCACCTTACTGTGGTTGATGTGTTTATATAGTTAAGTCAAATGTTGTGGCTGAAGGTGCGTGTTCCTTAATTGCCGGGGGTAGAGATGTTAAAAAAACATATGTGGAAGACAAATGGTGTTGAAGGCCTCCAGCACTGTTTAATGAAAGCTTTTCAGTTTGACTTGGATGGCCTCTTTCATGCCTTTTGTGATCCAGTTGTCCTCTCTATCTAAAATGTGCACCTTACTGACCTTGGAAGGATGTCCCTTTCCTGAAGGTAGAAAAACCTTGACCTGTAGAATTTGCCCTCCTACGTTGGGCCATTGGTTTGTTCAGAGGTTGTTTGGTTTCCCCAATAGGTGAGGCCTTCCAAAGTATCTGTCTTCCACTGTAAACCCATCAACCACCTTACTATGGTTGATGTGTTTATATAGTTAAGTCCCTCTCGTATGGCGCTGATGTTGATGTTTCTGCTTCCTCCCAGCTTTGTCCGTTCGGTCACCATGGACAAGTGGAAGGATGTGGAGCTGGAGAAGATGAAGGCCGGAGGTAACGCCAAATTCCGCCAGTTCCTGGAAACTCAGGATGACTCTGACCCCTGCTGGAGCCTGCAGGAGAAGTACAACAGCCGAGCAGCAGCTCTCTACCGCGACAAGGTGAGGCTACCCGCCCGAGGGCGACTGGTGGCTTTGCTCTTACTTGGAATTGAAGAAATACAATCTTAAGTCAGACATTTGTTAGATTCTGTTTAAAGGTCAGTCCATTCAAAGCCGATAAATCTGTGTTTTGGTAGATGCTGAGGTATTTGTGATACACATAGATGACATTCAGTTAGGGTTTACAGCTACCTCAACTACCATGAAAACGCTGGGAGAACATTATAGAATATATATGTTTAGATTGCCACGTTGACTGAAGGCCGGGAGTGGTCAGAGGAGACATCTGAAGCCCGAAACTGGACTCCTCCACAGCCGAAGATGATGGGTGGCCCGCCTCATCGGTAAGACTCTTCTGGTCCTTCCTCTCCTGGTCATTGGAATCGTCTGGTCATGTGGTGTTGTAATCGGAAAATTGAGACCAATCCGTGTTCTTTTCCTCCATGTTCAGCTCAAAAGTAGGAAGCGGCAACAACGGAGGGGGCGGAGACAAGGCATTTGAGGACTGGTTGGATGATGATGTCAGTTCCTATCAGAGGTAAGGTCAACCTGTTGTGCAGAGGATGATGGGAAGCAGTCGTAAAGGGGAATTTCTGATCTTCTTGGCAATTTTTTTTAATACATCATGGCTTTTTTTAAAGTGTAGGGGCTTAATCTTTTTGCGGTGTTGAGATTATGGGACAACCCTTGTCTTCTAGTGGTGGTGGCGCCGGGAACCAGGAAAATAGATACGTCGGTTTTGGTAATACAGTTAACCCTCCGAAGAAGGAAGAGGACTTCTTGAACAACGCCATGACCTCGCTGTACTCGGTATGAGAAGATAACCCCTTACATTTACCTATCGGCGTTCTATAATATGGTTTGGTCATGGGGCACAAAAAGACTTTTAATTTGTCTCCTTACAGGGCTGGAGCAGCTTCACGGTCGGCGCCAGCAAGATTGCATCTGCTGCCAAGGAAAGTGTAAGTGATATAAACATGGTAAAAAGTGAGCTCCATGTTCCTTTCCGGTCTGCATACTTGTTCCTGGCTCAGAAAGCATAAAGAAGGCCAGCATAACAGGCAACTTCAGGAGAGGTCAACAGTGGTAGGGCTAATAGTAGGTAGACTCATCACATTCTCTAACGCTGAAGGGGTTTCGTAGCTTCTCCAAGCCGCCTCTTTAGTTCAATGAATGTCAGGAACATACCCTAGCATTGATATCCACAAAGGTAGCACAGACCCCTCAATCCAATCGCCATGGAATGTGTAGATGTTGATTATCCACGAACATGATGGAAGGTAAGTCATTAGAACAGGGTGGTTCCACAGTTCCATTCTTGGTGTCAGGAGGTCTGCATAGGTGGTAATTTCTCAAATGTTGTGGCTGAAGGTGCGTGTTCCTTAATTGCCGGGGGTAGAGATGTTAAAAAGACATATGTGGAAGACAAATGGTGTTGAAGGCCTCCAGCACTGTTTAATGAAAGCTTTTCAGTTTGACTTGGATGGCCTCTTTCATGCCTTTTGTGATCCAGTTGTCCTCTCTATCTAAAATGTGCACCTTACTGACCTTGGAAGGATGTCCCTTTCCTGAAGGTAGAAAAACCTTGACCTGTAGAATTTGCCCTCCTACGTTGGGCCATTGGTTTGTTCAGAGGTTGTTTGGTTTCCCCAATAGGTGAGGCCTTCCAAAGTATCTGTCTTCCACTGTAAATTTTAACATCTCTGCCCCGACAACTTGACAGCAATTCACACCTTCAGTCCTATGAATAGAAAGGTTAACACCTATCCAGACTTTTTGACAAGGATGGGGCCAGTGGTGTCACGAGGGGGGTGCGGCCCGCACCCGGGTGACACCATGGGTGGGGTGGCAACTAAATGACTGACAGTCATTTTGGTCTCACCCCCTCTGAAAGGTTGGGCACTTGGTAATGAACCGAGAGCCCGACAATTGCAGGAGAGAGGAGAGGACCCAGCGGCATACCTTATCCTACCTGGCAAACGTCCCCTCCTCTCTTTGCCAGCGTCCATCACCAAGATAGCCGCTGGCATGTATCACCAAGATCGTATGCCCGATGACGTCACTGCGGGGGGTGTCACCCGATACCCGCTCCGGGTGACACCTGGCCTTGGGGCGCCCCTGGATGGGGCTATAGCTAGAACAAGGTGGTTCCACAACTTTCACACCTCGCATCCTGTACTTGGGCAAGCCGCATCTACACTTTTCATGGCTATTGGTTAGAGGTGTCTGTGCTACCCATGGGGTATCTTCCTGACACACATTCGAAATGAAGAAGCTGCAAGTCTAGTTGAGCAGGTCCAGCTGAGTGTGTCTTTACTACTATCTATACCAGGACCTGGATGAAGGAGAACCTTCACAGACATATCAGCAGTGGTTCAACAAAAAACTGAAGTCATCAACTTGCGCAACTAGATGGATTGTTTATGGACTATAATAATAGTCTTAAAGGAACTCCAGTTATACTGGTGATTACTCCATATCGGCAGTGGTAGCTGCACATTGCAGCGCACTTGATTTGGCTTTCAGTTTGGTTTTCAGTCATTCCTGGTTCCTTTTTACCTTTTAATGCTTCATTTGTTAGACCCGTTGAATTCAGGGGGCAAGGAAAGCCAGACTCATAATGTGTTCACATGGAATATTTTATATTAGAGGTGCACCGAAATGGAAATTTTAAAACTGAAACGAAACCGAAATTAAAAAAAATGTCAGGCCCAAACTGATACCGAAAATGTTTTTTATTTTTTATTAACTTTTTCTTTTTAAAAAAAATATTTTTATTTATTCATTTTTTATTAAATATTTTTATTTTTTACTTTTAGGGGCTTCGGGGAAATATTAGGGGTCTAAACAGACCCCTGATATTTCCCTTTTTAAAATAGAAAAAGAGATTGAGAACACAAAGTCCTCAATCTCTTTTTCTGTATCCCCTGATATAAATGAAGAGGAATCCTCAATGAGTGTTCCTGTTCATTGATAACATGAGTACATTGTTTGTTTACTATAACTACAATTATGAATGAACAGGAAGTGATGTAGGTGACTTCCCATTCATTCCTAATTGAGGATATAGTTAACATACCATGTCCTCAATTATGTACACACACTCAGCGATCACTGAGTGTGTGTACATTGCTTTTCTCTCTGACACGCTGTCACAGGAGGCTGAGCGAGCGGTGTAGAGAGGAGAGCCCAGCCTCCTGTGACAGCGCTGTCTCCGCCCCCACATCGCTCTGCCGGACTGCGATAGGCGGCAGAGCGGTGTGGGAGGAGACGCCGGCCGCTCACAGCACTCTCCACCGCAGCGCTCGGCCGGCTGTCACTTTCTCTTCTCCCCGCTGGGACACAGAGCAGCGCCCAGCTGGGAGGAAAGAAATCCGGGATGCGCCGATGTATCGGCAGGAAAGTGCCATTTTCGGCCGATATATCGGTGCATCCCTATTTTATGTTTATGATGAACTGCTTCTTATAATGCTTGTATGTTTTTCTATTTCTTATTAGGCAACCAAGCTGGGAACACAAGCCACCCAGAAGGTAAGGTCAGACAGGACTGAAGGAAGGGTTGGCTCATTGGCCTGGCGTAGTGACGGCTCAGAGTCGCCCTCCTTTGGTGCTGGGACAGTAACTATTCCTCGGGGTAAATTTATACAGCAGCAGTGTGGCCTTACCACTGCATTAAAATAAATACTTGTGTGTATGTGTATATGTATGGACACCCCTGTAGGTATTAATCAGAATGAGACCTGTTCACAAACCTTCTGATATTTTACAATTTTGACCATTTCGTTGACTTGATTGATTGAATTGTGTGATTGATGTCAGTATAATTGCTCACCATTATCCCTCTTGTAGGTTGTTCCTGTGGATGTCACCTGTCAATGTGTCTAGGGATGAGCTCAGGTTCAGACCAAGTATATTGCTGAGCCTTCGCTCCCCCGGACCTGAAAGGAACACGGGGCCACTTAAACATATTCACATAAGCAAAGGGGCGAGATGCTGACGACATTGACCTCGTATACGGTCATGTGGTCAGTGACATGAGGCGCTATAAGGACAATACAGTAATACCTCAGTTCACGAACGCTTCTGTCCGTGAACAATTCGGTTCGCGAACAGAAAGTTTGGCAAAATGTTGCTTCCGTTCGCGAACTCCACATCGGGTGACGAACACGACCGTGGCCATCTTCCCCGCTGTGACACTTGATCGTGGCTTCCTCTAGTCGAGATCGCGGTCGCAGACAGACCTGTGCACACTGTAAAGCTTTTTTGTGTGCTTTTTAGCACATACTGTACTGTAAAGTATTATTCAATCCAGCATGGCTCCAAAGAAAGTGCAGAGCAAGCATGGTGGTAAAAGGAACCTTATGGGGAAATTTGTTTCGGTTCGCAACCAATTCGGTTCGCGACCAGAATCGTGGAACAAATTAAGTTTGTGAACCGAGGTACCGCTGTATATGTCTTTGTAATGTCTCCTTCGCAAGACGTACCGTTATACCCCAGGATCCATCAGGGGCTGGAACAACTAGTGGATGGCGCCACAGTATACAATCTAGAACAGGGGTCTCAAACCTCCGGCCCTCCAGCTGTGGTGAAACTCCAAATCCCATGATGCATCTCTCTCCGGGAGTCATGTCTGTGGCTGTGAGCATCTTGCAATGCCTCATGGGATTTGTAGTTCCACCACAGCTGGAGGGCCGGAGGTTTGAGACCCCTGATCTAAAAGATATGTTGTCCGCACACCATTCTGCTTCGGAATATCACTTTGCCTGACGAAGGGGTCCTGTGAGGATCCGAAACGTTGCATTCACATTTCATGCTAAAGGAATACCAATAAAGAGGACATTAGAAAGCAGAATGGTGTGCGGACAACATATCTTCTAGCCTATAAGGACAATGATGTTGCAGCATTTTACCCCTTGCCTTGGGCTGGGAATTCCCCGGCTGCAGCTGATTGGGCAGAGGTGGAAGGAGCTTCCGTCCATGTTTGGGGGACCTGACGTTCTGATCTCAATCTAAGCTCATGCTAGACACAATGAGCATTCCTTGTTACCTGCAGGCCTACATCTTCAGACGCACGTTATGCTTTGTATAACGCAGCGCGTTGGTGTGAACTGAACCAATAGGACATCAGGCAAATTGCATTGTCTATGCGTTGGGATTGCCCAATGCTTATGATGTGAATGGACTCTTAAAGTGAAATGAATATACCAATATGCGGTATTTGCCTGTACTTATACCCAGTAGACGGTCAGTGATCAAGTCAAACATCTTTGAAAATGAAACAATGGAGCGTTGCCACTTTCAGGATGAAGGTTGAAAACCAATCCGCGTGTCCAATGCCAAGCAGCTCTAAATCTTCCACCAATCAGTAGTTTTGGTGCAGAGTTGACTGCCCGTTCATTTTCAAGGCTGTGCTTCTTCTGGATGTGTGAACCTAGATGAAAAGCTATCTGATTGGATGGTGCAGACAACACGCCTTCTTCCTGTTGTAATAGTAATCTGCTGTGCAATGTATAAGTGTAGTAAAAAAAGTGAATTGGTGAGGTTGTTGAAACCATACTAAAGCGGCTTCTTCTCCCTCCCTCCCCCCATCTCTGCCGGCGTGCAGTTTTGGGGAGGGAACAAGCATCCAGCGGACTCGGTAATGGAGCCGTACTTGTAGGCATGGTCTGTGTATGGCTGTTGTTATGGTTTCATGTGTTGTACGGAAGCCCCAACCTTTACTTCTCATTGTTCCCCTCCTACAGTTCATTGCTGCTGGCTTGTCCAGTAAATCAAAGAGCGAAGATGACTTGCAAAGTGCAGTACCCAATGAGATTTCACTTTATTGGAGTCACTTCAGTTAAAGGGTCAGTCCACTGTAGTGGCCAAAAGTGGGTGGCCGCCTGACCGTCACACTTAAGTTATATGACCAGAAGTAGATGGACCCTTTCAAAATTGGGACATTTCTCTTTTGATCATTGAAGGACTCAGTGGAGATCTTTAGATCTTGGCCAAGTGTTGGTTCTTGGTCAAGATCTGGAGATCTCCACTGAGTCCTTCAATGAACGCAGATAAATCTTTTTTACAGTGAGTACAAAAATCTTATTTTTAGACAATTGTGCCCTTTCAACCTTGTGGCAAGAGCTTGGTGAAGGCCCTTTTCTGTTCCAGCATGACTGTGCCCCTGTGCACAAAGCCAACTGCATAAAGAAAAGGCTTAATGAGTTTAGTGTGGAGGAACTGGAGTGGCCTGCACAGAGCCCTGACCTCAACCCTACTGAACACCGTTGGGGTGAATTGGAACATTAATTGTGAGCCTGGTCTTCTCATCCAACATCAGTACTTGACCTCACAAATGTTCTGAATGGGCACAAAGTCCCACAGGCACACTATATTTTCCCAGAAGAATGGATGCCATGGTTTTGGAATGTCCACCAAAGCTCATTTAGGTATGATGGGTAGGTGTCCACAAACTGGACATAGGTGGAGTCAAGCAGGTCCTTGTGCTCAGTTTTGCCAGTTCCACCTAACTCAGAGTGTTCCCCTTCCTCCTGTGATATTCTCTGGTGTACAAATACATGATAGCCATGGAACTAGTGTTTCCAGAAAGAGAGGTCAACAATGGCAGCCTCCATACTCCCCACTACACGTTTCCTTTAACCTTTGGACTTGCTAAGACAGTTGTTGTACCTGTTTTGGGTGGACTGATGCTTTAGCAGATGGATTCTGATTTGTCATTGTATTACCGGACTTTGCACTTCATTATTGCACTACGTAGGGACATAAAGTATATGTAAAGCCTCCGTTTCTTAATTTTGGATAGAGTAAGGAAGGGTTAAAACATCCCACTCGGGGGTTTTCATTTACTTCTCACCCTGTAGTCACAACAGGAAGTGGGAAGAATTCTCTCCAAAGCGAGTGGAGATCCCCAGTTAGTTCTCACCAGAACAGGTGTCCCCACTGGAACAATTTCCTCTGTTGCTGTTCTAGTGGTAACTCGAGTTTTTGGGTTTCCCTTCACTTGGCAGTGGCTAGCAGGGAAGACAAAGTGAACAGAGGTTCTAACCCAGGGGTAGCCAAACTCCGGTCCTCCCAGCTTTGGTGAAACTAGAAATCCCATGATGCATCTCTCTCCGGGAGTCATGTCTGCGGCTGTGAGAATCTTGCAAAGCCTCATGGGATTCGTAGTTCCACCACAGCTGGAGGGCCGGAGTTTGGGTACCCCTGATCTAACCCCTCGAAGAAGGTTTTGGCTTTAGATACACTTTTAATAACTAAATGCACTGGAATTTCATAGAGAATGTTGTATATGACCAGTCACTCTTCTCTCTTCTGTGCTGTGATGTCTTCCTTCCCAGCTTCTATGGACCCATCTTATGTTCTCCTCTACTCATATTTGCCTGTTCTCACCCTTCATTCAGTGATGTAGTCTCAGTGCATTGTGTGCAGGTGATATTTAAAGCTTCCTTCAGTCTTGCACAGTTGTACCGGCTCCTCTCCCGGACTGAAATGGCCTCCTCTGATTTCACTGCACACTGGGAGCTTCTCATAATGTGCATTAGAAGCTGCAGCAAGTCAGAGCCCGCCTCATTTCCTGGCTGGAGGACGTCCATCCCCAGCCTGACTGTCTCTAGCCCGCCCCCTCATTCTTTTATGCAAAGCTTTTATTTTGTACTCATTAATAAAGTAGACACTGATTTTGTTTTTTTCATCTTTTTGTAATTAAGGTGGAACTGTTTTAATACTGTAGATTTATCTGACAATTACAGTATTTAAACAGAGGCACACTGCCATCTCCACCGGCAGACTGATGATTTATTGAACATACAAAGCAGGGGTAGCCAAACTCTGGCTCTCCAGCTGCGGTGAAAATACAAATCCCATCATGCATCTGTTTCCAGAAGTCATGCCTGTGATTGTCAGATTCCTGTAATGCCTTAAAGGAGAACTATGGGGTTATGGTTTTTCCCCACAGTTCTCCTAAGGCTAACGGGAGGACACAAACTAGCGTCCTCCCGTCACCCAAAGCTCAGTATAGCTTGCGGTATACTGAGACACCGCAGCCGGAACGGATCCCGACAATTCTGTCTGGATCCACCCAGCTGCGTGAGTGACAGCTGGCTCTGCCTATCTAGAGGCAGAGCCAGCTGTACCCGCCCCCTCCCCCGTCCGTTCCGCCAGTCAGTGCTGGAGGATCGGAGGGAGGGGGATCCCTGCAGGGAGCTGTGAGTGACAGTCACGGCTCTCTGCAGGGATAGATCGAGAAGTGAGCGAGCGACGGTATTTGTTCGCTCACTTCCCGATCTACTGAGCCGACCTGTGACAGTTTCATTGTCACAGGTCGGCTCAGATTATGAGGCTGAGTGAAAATCACTCGCCTCATAATTGTCCTTTTAAGGGTCTTGTTATTCCACAACAACTGGAGGGCCAAAGTCTGGATACCTCTGAAAAAAAGCCTTGAGTCTGCATGTAGGGGAACAACTTTGATCGGTTCCCTATTATTAGTAGGGACCGAAAGGTTTAGTGAAGGCTCAGTCTGACAGCTAGCAGCTGTGCACAGTGTCGGCTGCTAGCTGTCAGTTTAATATACCCTCAACATGGGCCATCTTGCAGCAGAACATTAAAGACTGAAGGCAGAAAGTTGTTGGAGTGCCTACAGGGTTATGCCTGACGTTGCACCACTGAATTACCTCCATCTTGCTTCTCGTTTCTTTTAAATTCCTCTTCCGACCTGCCTTCTGTCTCCCCATTTCCTTGCATGCAGTCTGTACGGATCAGTGGTTTGCATGACTGACTCATGTACGGCACATACAGTTGACCATTTGTGAGAAAAAGTCTAAGCACCCTCAGGAATTTTCTAGATGATACTAGGATCACCTTTGAGAAAATCGCTGAGGGTTCACAAACATTCTCTCACAGGTGTCGGCGATATATGCAATCTCCCTGTATCCGTCTGTCATCCACTCTCCATCCTGACTTGTCTCCTTTTTTTTTTTCTTCCCCCCCCCAATCCCTGGATAGGCCTCTGAGCTAGGCCAGACCATTAATGAGAATGTTGTCAAACCAGCCCAGGATAAGGTAACTTCACAGAGTCCGCACTATTTGTAGAGATCAACACTGCTGGTTGTGGGGCTCAGCGCGGTCTATATGTTAATCAGTGTCTTCTGTCTGTGAAGGTCCTATCCGTGTGTCCACACGAGTACCTGAGCTATAACCGATGCTGTGAGGTGGAAGTGTATGGGGAGTTGACGCTGGACTTCCATTTATTAGGAATTATTATACGTCTCTAAAGTGAACCAGTCACCTTAATAATTCAAACTGGGCATACGATGGGAAGAATGTCCCTTACATTGGTGGTCAATGGAAAGAATGTCCCTTACATTGGTGGTCAATGGAAAGAATGTCCCTTACATTGGTGGTCAGAGGGAAGAATGTCCCTTACATTGGTGGTCAATGGAAAGAATGTCCCTTACATTGGTGGTCAGTGGGAAGAATGTCCCTTACATTGGTGGTCAGAGGGAAGAATGTCCCTTACATTGGGGGTCAGTGGGAAGAATGTCCCTTACATTGGGGGTCAGAGGGAAGAATGTCCCTTACATTGGTGGCTAGTGGAATGGATGTCCCCTTACATTGGTGGTCAGTGAGAAGAATGCCCCTTACATTGGTGGTCAGTGGGAAGAATGTCCCTAGCATTGGAGGTCAGTGGGAAGAATGTTCCTTACATTGGTGGTCAGTGGGAAGAATGTCCCTAGCATTGGAGGTCAGTGGGAAGAATGTTCCTTACATTGGTGGTCAGTGGGAAGAATGTCCCTAGCATTGGAGGTCAGTGGGAAGAATGTTCCTTACATTGGTGGTCAGTGGGAAGAATGTCCCTAGCATTGGAGGTCAGTGGGAAGAATGTTCCTTACATTGGTGGTCAGTGGGAAGAATGTCCCTAGCATTGGAGGTCAGTGGGAAGAATGTTCCTTACATTGGTGGTCAGTGGGAAGAATGTCCCTAGCATTGGAGGTCAGTGGGAAGAATGTTCCTTACATTGGTGGTCAGTGGGAAGAATGTCCCTAGCATTGGAGGTCAGTGGGAAGAATGTTCCTTACATTGGTGGTCAGAGGGAATAATGTTCCTTAAATTGGTGGTCAGTGGGAAGAATCTCCCTTACATTGGTGGTCAGTGGGAATGTGTCCCTTACATTGGTGGTCATTGGGAAGGATGTCCCTTACATTGGTGGCCAGTGGGAAGAATGACCCTTACATTGGTGGCCAGTGGTGGTTAGCATGCCACTCTTAACTGACACCTAGAAAGACCATTGTTGCTATCTCTGCCAAGTGGCATTGGCCTCATATCTATGTAGGCAGCATCAAATAGGAGGTCAATCAGCGACAGCTCAAGACATTCCTAGCAACCTCTGGATGAACTCTAGGCTTCCATGGAACACTGGTTGACAATGACTGTCATATACTGTGTGCCCCTTAGAGTTGCAGCTCTCTAGTAGGTTGGGCTGACGGGTTCATCTGTCATTCAGCTCCTGAGAACATCATTAAGACACCAACCTTCTGATAGCTGCCAAGTGGCTGGGGCTTAGTGTCATGGGGAGATGAGGTTGAGTTGATAAAGTAAGATGGGACATATCAATATGGGTGCGGGACTTCCCATCCAAATTGCCCCCAAACCCTTATAATAAAACTTAGTTGGAACTGTACCTTCCTCCTCTACAGCATACCGCGTTCTGTAATGCTACAGGTGCTCTTTAACACTGGCTTTCCAATTGTTGCTTTGTCCACCGTGGGTCATTGTCTCTCCGTGTTGCTTTGCTAAGCTCTCATCGGTCATTTGATGTTTTTTGTCATGAAAAATCTTAAGAACTGCTTTGCAGCTTAAGTTGCCAGAAGCTTTTCCTGCACATTGGGCGATTTTATAACGATGATTAGAGAATGGCACTTTCATGAATAAAGGCCGGATATGGAATCAATAAAACCCAGCAGTTGCTGAAATCTCTGACCACAAGCAGTTCTCACTTTCCGCTCATCCTTGCAATGACAGAGCTCCTAATATGAAAGCAGAGGATGCGACACCCTCACTGATCGGTTTCTTTGACAACCTCTGATGTACGCCACAGCTCATACAGTCTACACCAGAAAAAGCCGTCATTGCATTATAGGAGCTGAGCTGTTTTTTTTTGTCCTGGTTTAGTTCTGTCCACATGTAGAAGGTCGAGGGGGAAGTGTAGACATGTATGAAGTGAACATTTAAGGATCATCCTGCCTCTCTCTGCCCAACTCCTTCCCACTCCCTTTCATCACCTAATCTGCTGCGGACCCGCTCAATGAACATCCATAATTGTCACTAGCATCCTAATGCATTATGGGATGTGTAATTCTGTGTGGCACCTGTAACGAAAGAGGCAATGACATGTAGTCCCACAGAGTACCCTCCCATGTAGCCCGGCCATACTAGGTAAAAAAACACTGATTTATGGCATCACGGGTACCTGTAGCTACTGCTACCCCTTTGTTACTCCATACTAAACTAAGCAATTTTAGCTGGAGCTAGCAGGCAGACATACTGCAGGAGATGGTCAGAGACTCCTGACATACTACAGGAGATGGGCAGAGACTGCGGACATGGTGGGGGAGATGGGCAGAGACTGCGGACATAGTACAGTAGACGGGCAGAGACTGCAGACATAGTACAGGAGATGGACAGAGATTGCGGACATGGTGCGGGAGATGGGCAGAGACTGCGGACATGGTACGGGAGATGGGCGAGACTGCGGACATGGTACGGGAGATGGGTCAGAGACTGCGGACATGGTACGGGAGATGGGACAGAGACTGCGGACATGGTACGGGAGATGGGCGAGACTGCGGACATGGTACGGGAGATGGGCGAGACTGCGGACATGGTACGGGAGATGGGCGAGACTGCGGACATGGTACGGGAGATGGGCGAGACTGCGGACATGGTACGGGAGATGGGCGAGACTGCGGACATGGTACGGGAGATGGGCGAGACTGCGGACATGGTACGGGAGATGGGCGAGACTGCGGACATGGTACGGGAGATGGGCGAGACTGCGGACATGGTACGGGAGATGGGCGAGACTGCGGACATGGTACGGGAGATGGGCGAGACTGCGGACATGGTACGGGAGATGGGCGAGACTGCGGACATGGTACGGGAGATGGGCGAGACTGCGGACATGGTACGGGAGATGGGCGAGACTGCGGACATGGTACGGGAGATGGGCGAGACTGCGGACATGGTACGGGAGATGGGCGAGACTGCGGACATGGTACGGGAGATGGGCGAGACTGCGGACATGGTACGGGAGATGGGCGAGACTGCGGACATGGTACGGGAGATGGGCGAGACTGCGGACATGGTACGGGAGATGGGCGAGACTGCGGACATGGTACGGGAGATGGGCGAGACTGCGGACATGGTACGGGAGATGGGCGAGACTGCGGACATGGTACGGGAGATGGGCGAGACTGCGGACATGGTACGGGAGATGGGCGAGACTGCGGACATGGTACGGGAGATGGGCGAGACTGCGGACATGGTACGGGAGATGGGCGAGACTGCGGACATGGTACGGGAGATGGGCGAGACTGCGGACATGGTACGGGAGATGGGCGAGACTGCGGACATGGTACGGGAGATGGGCGAGACTGCGGACATGGTACGGGAGATGGGCGAGACTGCGGACATGGTACGGGAGATGGGCGAGACTGCGGACATGGTACGGGAGATGGGCGAGACTGCGGACATGGTACGGGAGATGGGCGAGACTGCGGACATGGTACGGGAGATGGGCGAGACTGCGGACATGGTACGGGAGATGGGCGAGACTGCGGACATGGTACGGGAGATGGGCGAGACTGCGGACATGGTACGGGAGATGGGCGAGACTGCGGACATGGTACGGGAGATGGGCGAGACTGCGGACATGGTACGGGAGATGGGCGAGACTGCGGACATGGTACGGGAGATGGGCGAGACTGCGGACATGGTACGGGAGATGGGCGAGACTGCGGACATGGTACGGGAGATGGGCGAGACTGCGGACATGGTACGGGAGATGGGCGAGACTGCGGACATGGTACGGGAGATGGGCGAGACTGCGGACATGGTACGGGAGATGGGCGAGACTGCGGACATGGTACGGGAGATGGGCGAGACTGCGGACATGGTACGGGAGATGGGCGAGACTGCGGACATGGTACGGGAGATGGGCGAGACTGCGGACATGGTACGGGAGATGGGCGAGACTGCGGACATGGTACGGGAGATGGGCGAGACTGCGGACATGGTACGGGAGATGGGCGAGACTGCGGACATGGTACGGGAGATGGGCGAGACTGCGGACATGGTACGGGAGATGGGCGAGACTGCGGACATGGTACGGGAGATGGGCGAGACTGCGGACATGGTACGGGAGATGGGCGAGACTGCGGACATGGTACGGGAGATGGGCGAGACTGCGGACATGGTACGGGAGATGGGCGAGACTGCGGACATGGTACGGGAGATGGGCGAGACTGCGGACATGGTACGGGAGATGGGCGAGACTGCGGACATGGTACGGGAGATGGGCGAGACTGCGGACATGGTACGGGAGATGGGCGAGACTGCGGACATGGTACGGGAGATGGGCGAGACTGCGGACATGGTACGGGAGATGGGCGAGACTGCGGACATGGTACGGGAGATGGGCGAGACTGCGGACATGGTACGGGAGATGGGCGAGACTGCGGACATGGTACGGGAGATGGGCGAGACTGCGGACATGGTACGGGAGATGGGCGAGACTGCGGACATGGTACGGGAGATGGGCGAGACTGCGGACATGGTACGGGAGATGGGCGAGACTGCGGACATGGTACGGGAGATGGGCGAGACTGCGGACATGGTACGGGAGATGGGCGAGACTGCGGACATGGTACGGGAGATGGGCGAGACTGCGGACATGGTACGGGAGATGGGCGAGACTGCGGACATGGTACGGGAGATGGGCGAGACTGCGGACATGGTACGGGAGATGGGCGAGACTGCGGACATGGTACGGGAGATGGGCGAGACTGCGGACATGGTACGGGAGATGGGCGAGACTGCGGACATGGTACGGGAGATGGGCGAGACTGCGGACATGGTACGGGAGATGGGCGAGACTGCGGACATGGTACGGGAGATGGGCGAGACTGCGGACATGGTACGGGAGATGGGCGAGACTGCGGACATGGTACGGGAGATGGGCGAGACTGCGGACATGGTACGGGAGATGGGCGAGACTGCGGACATGGTACGGGAGATGGGCGAGACTGCGGACATGGTACGGGAGATGGGCGAGACTGCGGACATGGTACGGGAGATGGGCGAGACTGCGGACATGGTACGGGAGATGGGCGAGACTGCGGACATGGTACGGGAGATGGGCGAGACTGCGGACATGGTACGGGAGATGGGCGAGACTGCGGACATGGTACGGGAGATGGGCGAGACTGCGGACATGGTACGGGAGATGGGCGAGACTGCGGACATGGTACGGGAGATGGGCGAGACTGCGGACATGGTACGGGAGATGGGCGAGACTGCGGACATGGTACGGGAGATGGGCGAGACTGCGGACATGGTACGGGAGATGGGCGAGACTGCGGACATGGTACGGGAGATGGGCGAGACTGCGGACATGGTACGGGAGATGGGCGAGACTGCGGACATGGTACGGGAGATGGGCGAGACTGCGGACATGGTACGGGAGATGGGCAGAGACTGCGGACATGGTGCAGGAGATGGTTAGAGACTGCCGATATGGTACAGGAGATGGTCAGAGACTGCGGACATGGTACGGGAGATGGGACAGAGACTGCAGACATGGTGCGGGAGATGGTCATAGACTGCGGACATGGTACGGGAGATGGTCATAGACTGCGGACATGATACGGGAGATGCTGTCCGGCACACTGGTCTTTTCAGCTGTCAGGTGCACAAATGCATATGAGTACCTCTACCATTGTAAGGAAGAGCGAGTGACTACGTATGAGTTATAATTAGTGGTCACAACTGCTGCTTTTATTATAAAGTGATGGGTTGAAAACAAAGCTTACTATTGGTTGTTGGGCCCTGCGCAGTCCGATGAGGACTAGTAATGCTTGTATCACTAGCACTAATGGGGATCCCTATTCTCTAGCCCACCTTCTGTGTCCTGATTGTGACTAATGCTTCCTGTGCAAGGCGTGATCTATTAACCAATACTGCACCTCCTAACGCCAAGCCCGCTGCTCTAATCTATGCAAGGCAACATCGCTGCACCTGATTGGCTTTTTGGTGATTGGAGTCCGTCCTCCCTGCACATAACCACCACCCTCCTCTAAACCCACCCCCTGTATCCCTTTTCCACCCACGTTCTAGGTAAAAGAAGGCCGAATCTATGAAGATGTCACCAGTTCAGTATCCAGTCTTGCCGTAAAGGTAGGGGGTGCTGTGATGGCACCGTGTAGCTGGACGCCACATCCTGTGTATATGTCAGTTGCTGGTGATCTTGTGTGAACAGACTTTCAAGAGAACCTGTCACACCGCTTCAGGAATTAGACCAGTGTGAGGAGTGGTGATATGCTTTTAATGTGACCACCCCCCTAGAGTGACCCCAAAACACCCATGTAAACTTGGACTTCTGTGGTTAGAGCATAGTCACCCCGCAATGTGTGGGTTATCACATGGGAAGTGGAGACGTACCTACTCTGTGTTAGTGTTCATGACATGGTCACCCCACAGCATGCAATGGATGTGGCGACAGCTCACGTGCCGTCTTGTATTTACTATGTCAACCTCTAATCAAATATGTTTTTGTTTTCTTCACGCTTCCTTCTTTTTTGGATGTGGCGGTGAGTCCTCTATATGTCTATACCCTATGCAGAGGTAACCTTAATGTGCATCCTATTCCTAACCTGAGTCATATTGCTGCCAGAGATCAGTGAGCTCTACAAAGCTGTGTGCATTACATTTAAAGGGCAGCTGTCAAGGTAGAGCTATGCTGCCATTGTGCTTTGGTATTGTCATCCACATTCAATGTGTCCCTTATCTGGATCAATAAGCCAATAAAGTAAGTGAGGTCGAGGACACAGCATCTTTCAAGTGCATATTTTCCCTTCTTTATTCCCCTACAGCTTTATTCAGCCACCAGGACCACAATAAGAAAGCCTTGTGTTGGCTCCAAACCAACTTTTTGGAACCCAAAGGCTTCTTTTGACAGTCCTGGGCCAATCATTAGACACCCAATGCTGCCACATGGGAGAAAGGAAGTAGGTCACCCATACCTGGAAGTGCCAAATATTTCACTCCCATAGGCTGTGCCGGATATATGACCCCCATAGGCTGTGCCAGATATTTCACTCCCGTAGGCTGTGCCAGATATTTCACTTCCGTAGGCTGTGCCAGATATTTCACTTCCGTAGGCTGTGCCAGATATATCACTCCCGTAGACTGTGCCAGATATTTCACTCCCGTAGGCTGTGCCAGATATTTCACTCCCGTAGGCTGTGCCAGATATTTCACTCCCGTAGGCTGTGCCTGATATATCACTCCCGTAGGCTGTGCCAGATATATCACTCCCGTAGGCTGTGCCAGATATTTCACTCCCGTAGGCTGTGCCTGATATATCACTCCCGTAGGCTGTGCCAGATATATCACTCCCGTAGGCTGTGCCAGATATTTCACTCCCATAGGCTGTGCACAACAGCGGAGGAATGAAGGAAAAGGGAAAGTGTTCTTCTAGGGAAGGTGGGAGCTAAGTGAATCTTTTTTTGCTCCATATGGACTATGGAAATGTTCACTTTAAAGACACCATGTCAGGTCTCTAAAGATGTCAGACCAGTACCTTGCAGCAGAAGACTGATGGCCAGGTCTTCGATCTCCCTTCTGTTCTAGCTCTGCAGCCTCTGTAAGTCTCTTAGGCATTTAACTCCTTCCAGATACCTGTCCTCTTCACTGTGCGTCGTGTTTCCTTCCTCTGACCCCTATGTAACTACAAAACTTGGCAGTGGAATAGAGGTCAGATGCTGGTACTAGAGTGCGTGGTGAGGGGAACAGATATCCAACATGTCTGGAGGTGGAATGAAGGGGAGGTCAAAGACATGGGCCACTGGCGAGGTGGGTGTTCTGTCTTCTATAGCATGGTACTGGTAGTTCTACATCTTTAGAGACCTGACATTTTGTCTTTAAAGCTCTGACCAAAACGGTTGAAGTCCTTTTGGATTATGAAGGATCAACATCTCTGACAACATCTTCAGTATGGGTATTTCTATAAATCTTTTCATTATATTCAGCACGAATGACAGGTTAGCTGAGAGGGCTCAGGGTAGGATAGGCAGGTCACTTTTTCTTTGTTGCTACCCCATTGCTCTGTTCAGTCAGGAGGTGCCAAGAGAAATAAGCAATACTTTCGCTATGTGACTCCCTCCCCACAAGGTGATTGGCTGCTTAGGCACCCAGCACTGTCACATAGGGTAGGGAGAGGGTCCTCAGCCCTGTGTAAGCTCCAAGTTATGATTTGGGGCTTACACAGGGCTTCTTCACTTCCAGAGGCTGAGCGAAGCAGCGAAGTAGTTCAAGGAAAATGAGTTTGCAGAGAAGGGTGGCAGTGGAGCCAACGCTAAGTAGGGAGAATTGTGTTACCAGCCTGTTTTGGGTATGCTGTTGGTTTGGCATATGATGGCAAAGAGCAGAATATAACCTTCAGTCTCTTCTCTAGGTGCAGGGCGTTGGGACTAAGAGCTGGAAAGATGTCACCAGCTTTTTCTCAGGGAAGAGTGAGGACAACCCAGACAGGTGAGTGATGAGTCCCTTGTATGCTTTTGTTGGACCTGTTTAAAGAGGATCTGTATTGTGTGAACTGCACTCAAAAAAGGCAGGCAGAGGACAAAGGACTGGCCAGTATGGCCTGTGGGTACTGCTTTGTGTTTGAGTGTGGAGGTGGCCATCTTGGTAGAGGAGCAGGGCTTTGTTGCTCATGTCAGAGCTGCCCCCCTGATGACTTATGGGGGAGTATTTAAGGTCAGCAGGAGGAGCCTCATATCCCCAGAATAAATGAAGCAGAAGCAGGGAGATCCTTGCACTGCAGGTCTTCAAGTACAGCTTCTTATCCAGCAAGGAAAACAGTAAGTAGCAGAGGAGTTACATGAAATGAATGCTCACTCCCTTACCTTAGATACAGTATCTGGCATGGAAGAAGGTCATTTTCCTGGGGTTGAGATATTGTTAAGCTCTATTTTCTTCTCTTTCTTAACCAATCTCATGCAGTCTTCTCTATTTTTTCTTTCTGAAAACCCGCAGCTCTATACCTGGAGAAGGCTACCAGCAAAGCGCCAGCGACGGCTACCAAAACGCCACCTCGGGAAAAACATTCTGGGAGACGTTCGGCAGCTCGGAGGAAATCAAGAAGCCGACCAAGTCGCCGAGCGGGGACAGCTGGACGTTCCCGGAGAACACCGCGGAGAGGAAGAGCTCAGATAGCTGGGAGGTGTGGGGCTCCGGGACCACATCCAACAACAAGAACAGCAACAGCGACAGCTGGGAGAACTGGGACAGCCACTGGGAGGCCGAGGGGAAGGGGAAGAAAGGGGGCAAGAGCCAGGCGCCCTCTACGGATGATGGCTGGGATAATGCTAACTGGTAGAGCGGGAGGGGGAGAGAAAACTTGACGGGGTGGAGTTGGGAACTCTTTATCAAGTACCTTAACAGTCCAAGCCAGATATAGTATATAGATATCCCAGGATGCTTTGGGTGCAGACATGGTGCCTCTCTTGCCGCGGCATTCGTATTACAGAGTCATTGTGTAGCAGCCAAGCATCTCTGGGATTAGAGATCTCTGCATAAAACTATTTATAGCTAAAGTAGCCACATAACTTATTTTAGAAAGAATGAAGACGCCTCTTACTGCCTTTTGGGGAACAAATTTCAAACCTGAACCATAGTCTAAACCGAACATATTTTACACCCCTCCACCTTCAAAAATATTATCTATTAATATCAGCAGCTCCGGGGGGCTCCTTTGCGGCCCACCAATCATTTGTCGTGATGGAAGGTCACAAGCCCTCCCTTTTAAAGCAAACCTGTCCTTTTCTTTACTCTCATCAGCAGTGTATACTTACCTTTCCTTCACTCCGCTCAGCAGTTGGAGCTGAAGGATAGGAAGGTGTATGCATTTTCCTTCACTTTGCTCAGCAGTGGGATCTGAAGGTTAGGAAGGTGTATGCATTTTCCTTGACCCTGCTCAGCAGTGGGAGCCGAAGGATAGGAAGGTGTATGCATTTTCCTTCACTCCGCTCAGCAGTGAGAGCTGAAGGTTAGGAAGGTGTATGCATTTTCCTTCACTCCGCTCAGAAGTGAGAGCTGAAGGTTAGGAAGGTGTATGCATTTCCTTCACTCCGCTCAGCAGTGAGAGCTGAAGGTTAGGAAGGTGTATGCATTTTCCTTCACTCCGCTCAGCAGTGAGAGCTGAAGGATCGGAAGGTGTATGCATTTATGAAGGTGTGCGGTAAAGTGGACCTGTTGCTTTGCCCTACATGGCAGCATCTTGGAGCTCCTGAATGTCACCCTTTGATAATGACCCCAGGACCTCCCGCCACAGTGGGGTGAGCCTGGTGCTGTTTACGGGTTGGCATTAACCCATCTAGTGAAAATAGGTTAGGTTTAGACTAGGTTTTAGGTCTGTATGAGAACACTCCTCCTCCTCAGCATGTCACAGCTGGGCAGGTCTGAGCCAGGAACTGAAATATCTGCTTTGTGTTAGCTATGCATTATTTGACGGAGGGGTGGGGTGGTTGGATAAAGAAGCAACATTTATGAGGGCATCATGTCTGGAAGCATACAGTAGTTGCTTCTCCATGGTAGCCAGCAGAGTTTGTCATTTGAATTGCACCTCTTTTAAAAACGACCTTCTAATTAGACCTCTTCTAGGTATCTGGCTGGGCCTGTTCAGGAAGGTTGGCGCCCCTAAGTGGTCCTTCCTGGAATCCGATCATCTGTGGTGTGTGTGGTTGCACCTTGTACCTCCATCTCTTGCAGCATAGTATTTATAAAGAGAGGGGAGTGGCCAGACCTGCCTCTTCCACCGCTCTTCCCTTCCTGTCTTGGTGTGGTCATGTGCAGGGAACGCCCCTGTCCCCCCCCACGCCATCAGCAGGGTTCTAGTCTACGTGCAGTGGGCATTGTGCTTTAATCTCCGGTATGTAAGTGGCTTGGATGATTACAGTTGTAGCACCCTCATGGGAATTTGATCCTGCCCCACCTCCCCCCATATACCTCAGAACAACCGCGCTGGCGTCTATCGGAAATCTTTACCAGATGCACCTATTACTCAGAACCATCTCGTATTTTTTTTTTTATCAAACTCATGTTTTGATCTATCATTGGACAATTTCTTTTGGAAGCAATTTGATTTTTCACAATTTCCCCACAATTTGTATGATAGTGTTTCACATCCGGATCCGCAGATCCACCCTCTAGTAGTTGTGATCATTGGACAGCGCAGTCTGCAGCTTTGCTGAACAGGTTTCTGATCTATAAACTTGAGTACCTCTTGGTAGCCAATTGAAATGGATAAATCATTTTTAATGGCATGAAAATATAAAATGTGTTTTTATATCAGCTTGGAGGAGAGGCTGTGCTAACAAGTATAGACACCGTGGTGTCGAATCAAGCACCTAGAAGAGGTCGGACCCACTTTAAATTTTAGATGCCAATGTAAATCCTGACTTTTTGAAAGCCGGAGCCTAGGCAAAGCATTTCCTGCAGGCTCACCAGGTTGCTGAAGCACTTGGCACTGTCAGCAATGGCATGCCTAGGCTCCTGCTATCAGGGAGTCTGTACTTGGGCCAAGGGGCACTCAGCAAGGCTCTACGTAGAAATGAACTACAGGTCCCGCCAATTTATGGGTGCGTTCTGCCAGTGTAGTTTCCTGATGTTGGCACAGGTTCATTTTAGGAGAACTAAAATCTAATATAGCTATAGATTCCATTTATAAGACTTTACAGGGCTCCGAAACTGTCTTGCTGCCTCCTCTTCTGCTGCTGCCCAATTACTAATAAAATGTAGAAAGGCCTCCATCAGATCTGTGCTTTGTGCTAATGTTCTGTAAGAAGCCGCCTTGTTTTAACGTGCATTGACGCACGACAATCTTTATTGTGCATTGCAGAAGGGGGGTTGTAAATGAGTGTAGACGGTTTAGATTCTGTGTAAGCACTAAGTACCAGTGTTCAATAGATGTGACGTCTGTATATATTTTATAGTATCTGCAGGTTGATGGGCAGTTTTTGATAGTGCTGTAGGGTGAGCCAAACCATTTGTGGTCTCCAAGCCTATTACTCATTGTGCTGCTTTATTCTCTCCCTCTTCTCCTTCTGTTTCTCCTCCTCCTCCTCCTCTCTCTTACTCCTCCCTGATTCAACTTGGCCCTCTCCAACCTGGCCCTCTCCAACCTGGCCCTCTCCAACCTGGCCCTCTCCAACCTGGCCCTCTCCAACCTGGCCCTCTCCAACCTGGCCCTCTCCAACTTGGCCCTCTCCAACTTGGCCCTCTCCAACTTGGCCCTCTCCAACTTGGCCCTCTCCAACCTGGCCCTCTCTATCCCGTCCTTGGCCCTCTCTATCCCATCCTTGGCCCTCTCTAACCTGTCCTTGGCCCCTCTCTAACCTGTCCTTGGCCCCTCTCTAACCTGTCCTTGGCCCCTCTCTAACCTGTCCTTGGCCCTCTCCCTGACAGCTGTGAATCTCAACTGCAGTTCAGTCTGAGCTCCGTGAAGATGATCAATGAGGATATAACAGACAATAATTGAGTATTAATACCCTGCTCCAAAATCTTTTACAAATATCCTCAGAACACACATAAAAAAAGAACTCTGGGCCTATACAATAGTAACCATTGGCCGAGGGTCTACCTCCGCACTGCACGGGCTGAGTGCTTGTTTTGCCTAGGGAGTTAAAATAACAAAGATAGACTGACCTGAACCATGTTCCTGGCTGGCTGCTAGAGTGATCATTGCAACCTCGCTAACCGAACCTCGGCACTTCAGCTCCCATGAGGCACTGCAAGACTATGGCACCCACGGGCATGACTCGCAGAGGCATTATGTGATTTGTAGCTTTGCCAGAACTGGATTTCCAAGGTTACCTACCTACCTGTCCTGTAGCCGTATTGTACTGCAGTTGACGTCTCGGCGTAATCGAGAGAGAACTCCAATCATTGCTGTCTGATGTGAAGGCGGGATCACCGTCAGCTTTTTAAATTATGAAAAGTAAACCAGAGTTTGGGTTCTATACAGAAGACTATTTTGATAACGTTCTAGCTGTGTATGCATTGTTTACAGGCGATATTATGTACTATAAGTGTTTAGAGTACTTTATTTTGCTGTAGATCCGAAGATGAACTACAACTCAAAGCATGCTAAAGACCAGTGAACTTCTATTTGGTCACCAGCTGGTGTGATAGCGGCCTCTTGTGGCCATTACTGTGTAACACATGCTTAGGATAGGCGAGCTGAACCGAACTCCCAACCTACAAGGCGGAGTTTACCATATATGGAGTATGTGATAGGAGGGGCTAGACTACATCACTCAGCCTAAATCAGAGTTAGGTCATAATGGTCATGGCAGGAGACAAAAGATCTCGCCCCTTATTGAGAGATGGAAGTAGCTTAGAACATTCCAGGAGTTCATACCTGCCGGATCCTCCCCAAATAAAACCCTTTCCGCCAGCTTCATGAATATATATGGTGCCACAGCGATGGGCTTTAACGCCAAGGTGCCGCATATAGGCATACAGCTGGCATCACTCAGTGCCCCCCAGCACTGTAATTGGTCACTAGAATTGGGAACTGGTAAGATGGGCTCTTGATCACTGTGGCAGCTAGTTTCAGTGATCACATGATCATGAGCTCAAAGAGCCCCTTAAAGGGCCGGTGTGAGCTGAAGCTAAGGGGTTAAGTTGTGTTTTTGATCTGATTGCATTCCGAAGCTAGTTACACGTTTACCTCCCTCTCCATTGAATGGAAGCTCTTGGTGCAATAATCCTAGAAGTGTAAGGGTTAACGTTTACTGGTGGGTCTGGGTTAGGGTGGGGGACGAGTCTAAAGTCCCCCCACACCACCCTAACTGAAGTTGAACATGACCCAGTTCCTTCCCCATGGTGATAAGCGCACCATCACCTTCCAGTGCTGTTACACGTTCCGGGGGGACCACGATCTGCTTCATGAAATTGTGGATTTGGTTTTCTCTCTCTCTGTGCCTCCACAATGGCCGGAAGGTTCTCTTGCAGCACTGGGGTCCTGGCTTTGACAACCCCTATGGGACTCTCTGAGTATGATCTGCCTGAATTTTGCTGGAAGGATAACGAATACTTATTGAAATTGCCCCGGGTTCCTGGCTGATGGGCATCAAGCTGGCAAACCGACCTTGAATACTGCCAGCTGGTGTCCACAAGCATTGGCCAGTACCATAGAAAGTAGACACGTACACCATCTCCTGTGTTCTCTACTGTGTTACAGGGTACATTTGCCAGAGGAGCTTACAATCTAATTTCCCTCCAGAAGAGCTGGCAATTTACTCCTTCCAAGGTCCACTCCTATTTAATGGGGTGGTTGTGGTCAGAGGGTTGGGTCATACCAGAGGAGCTTGCAATCTAATTTCCCTACAGCAGAGCTTACAGTCTATTCCTACCATAGTCTTCCTATCAATGGGGCAGTTTTGGTCAGAGGGTTGGGCCATACCGGAGGAGCTTACAATCTAAATTACATTACCACAGTCCTCTTTATCAATGGGGTGACTGTGGTCAGAGGCTTAGTTCATACCAGTGGAGCTTACAGTCTCATTTCCTTATCACAGTCCTTATAGGGTGGGATCGTTTAGAGGGTTGGGTCACATCAGAGGAGCTCCTACCACAGTCCCTTTTATGGAGCAGTTTCGGGCAGAGGGTTGGG